ACAGCAAAACCACACGACTGATTGTTATTTCTGTTCAGTAGATGTGAAAGGCTTTAATACAAAAAGTAAAAAGAAAATATCTTACCCAAACCTTAATTCAGCCATTCTTCCAGTGCCTCATAGCTCTGAAATACCAGTTCCCCTCCCACCTTCCAGTATGGCTGATATACAGAGTGATTCGGAGGACGGAACTCTATTACTACCCCAGGATGAACCCAACTCAGATTTTTCTCTTGATGAGGGACCCCAACCTTTTTCTCAGAGTGAGCTCAATGACTTAGTTAGAGATTTAGGCCTTTCCAAAGGTGCAGCCGAATTGTTAGGGTCAAGACTAAAAAATAAAAACTTGCTGTCACCTGGAACATCATTCTCGTGGTACAGGCACCGAGAGAAGGAATTCACTGTTTTTCTCCAAAGAGGAAAATCTCGTTTTTTGTAATGATGTTCAAGGGCTCATGAAATGGTTTGAAATAGAATATGATCCATCTGAGTGGCGAATTTTCATTGATTCGTCTAAAACAAGCCTCAAAGTAGTCTTGCTGCATAATGGAAATACATTTGCATCAATTCCTATGGGACACTCGATGCATTTGGAAGAAAACTATAAAGATTTGGCTGTGATTCTTGAGAAAGTCAACTATCAAGAACATCAATGGATGGTTTGTGGAGACTTCAAAATATTAACCATGTTGTTGGGCCAGCAGGCAGGTTATACAAAATATCCCTGCTTCTTATGCCTGTGGGACAGTCGAGCCAGAGACCTCCATTGGACAAAAACTGACTGGCCACTTCGAGATGCCTTAATCCCCGGTGAAAAAACGTAATTAATACGACCTTGGTTCCACCTGAAAGGTTTTATTACCACCTCTTCATATTAAATTAGGGATCATGAAGCAGCTTGTAAAACCACTGCCAAAAGATGGAGAATGTTTCACATATTTGTGTTCCAAGTTCCCAAAACTGTCTGAAGCCAAGTTGAAAGAGGGAGTTTTTACTGGTCCCGACATCCGAAAGCTGTTAACCGATCCCCTCTTTTCAGAAACAATGGGAGAAAAAGAAAAAGAAGCATGGGACTCCTTCAAAGAGGTAGTGCACAAGTTTTGGAGGAACACTAAAGACCCTCTCTACAAAACCAATGTACAACGCATGTTGGCTGCATATAAAGCTCAAGGTTGCAAGATGAGCTTAAAAGTTCATTTCCTGCTCTCCCATGTCGACTATTTTCCCGAAAACTTGGGAGCCTATAGTGAAGAGCAGGCTGAAATCGAAAGAGGCTACCAAGGAAAGTGGAATGCGAAAGCGTGTTCGGATGAGCATCAAACAGAAGAAGAAAAGGTTTCACAGGCAAAAAGACTGAACACAGAATGTTAAATATATCATGAAGGAATTGTTTGTTTTACTATGAGAAATAATATGTTTAGTCCAATGTAATAAAATTAGCGATTTTTTTCATCGTTGTTATGATTTTTTATTGTAAACCCCTATTATTTTCCAAAAAAACCGTAGGTGATTGGGGAAAATTGAGGTTATTTTTGGATTCAGCATCCTAGAAAACATAAAGTTTCCCAAAAATATTCCATGCAGCTGAAAAAAAATATTTTTGCAGACCTGTGTAATCAGGCTTAGTCTTTCCCATCTCCTTAGGACCATAAACAAACAAAACAAACTCCGTAGTTTTAGTCTGCAAGAGAACTATACCAACCGAGCGACCGCCGCTTGTCGGCGAAGTTAATGCCAACTTCAGCAGATAGAGGGTGTCTCGTGGTCAGACCGGAGCCTCTATTTCTTTAGTTATCCTCAGGAGGCTGAGTGGACCCCGTTCCAGCTTCTCAAGAACTTTTTAGCATTTTATGGAAGTCGATTCATTTCCGTGTTCACAATAGCCCTTCACTGGTCCCTATCCTGAGCCACATCAATCCAGTTCATTCCATCTCATCCTATTTCTCTAAGATTTTTTTCCTTGGCACTACAGCCCCAGTGGGCCTAGGCCTACCTCCATGAACTTCTCCGTTCACTTCGGTTTTTCTTGATCTTACAGGTTCGGTAGGACTCCTTGGGCGGGTGATCAGCTCGTCGCAAGGCCTCTACCTGTACACAAACACAGAAAAACGCACACCCACAAACTAAACATCCATGCCCTGAGTGGGATTCGAACCCACGATCCCGGTTTCCAAGTGAGTGAAGACAGTACATGCCTTAGACCGCTCGGCTACCGTGACCGGCATTTCTCTAAGATACATTTTAATATTTAATTACGAAGAAAAATGGTCCGGGCGCTAACCCAGCATAATAAACTTACTAACACAAGACCACTTTATCCTACAAGTGTACTATTTTTATTGACAAATATTAAGATTCTGTTTAAGTCGTAAAATGAAACTGAGGCGTGCAGCACGTTGTGTAAAGCCATGTAAACCTCAACATGGAAGCACAGTATAATAATACTGTTCAGTAGCTTCTAGGGAAGACAAATATATATGCTGATGAGCAAATGTTGAATTGGTAATTAGGTGATGCTAAATTCCTGAAGTCACATATTTATGGAGCCGCTAATAAATCCGTAAACTGTCAGTTCACGAGCAACGTACTTTCACCGTTATCTTACTCTTCTATTGATAGAGGTACTTGTATTGTTTCTGTTCAAACAGGGCCGCGCCATAGCTCAAGCGGTTAGTCGCTGGCTCCCCGCCGCGGCGGCCCCAGTTCGATCCCGGGTCTGGTGAAGTGGGATTGGTGGTGGAAAAAGTGGCGATGGGACAGGTTTTCTCCGAGTACTTCGGTTTCCCCTGCCAATCTTCATTCCACCAATTGCTCCACAATCACCCTCACCTATCATCAGGGGCTGGTACAATAGGCCAGAAGTGGCCGCAGTACGAGGGACTTAGTCCCACCCCACTAGAAATAAATAAAAGTTCCATCAAGAATATAAGGGAATGCCTTTACATGTTTCGGCCACTACTGGCTTTCATCAGAAGACATATCTCATTCTCACATTAAACTTGAGGGTAGAAGGAAAAAATAAGAAAATCCACAAGCCAAGAGACCGTGAGAACCGGT